TTGTATATACAAATTTTAAATAACTTGTTTTTTATGAATTTAAATATGTTCTCATTAACTATTTATTTATAAAATGTCTTCAATAAGAAAAAAAATTTTTTTATTGATCATAAGCCTGGCAATTATGGCCATTAACTGTTTGTAGGGGGGGGGGAAGGTTAATTTGGAACACATGCTGTATGTGTTGCAAGGGTTTGTTGTTAAAAATCAGGGTGGTCATCTATCCGGAAGCTAGCAACATCGGCTGATATGTATACTCAAAGCGTTTTAGTAGTTGAGTGTACAACAGGGCCACATCATGCCGCCAATAAAAACTATAATATAATCAATTTTTGTTTGTAAAATTTTAATAAAGATTAATGCTACTAATTATATATCACTTAATATTCTTGTAAAATTGTGAAATTTAATTAAGCCATTTATAGTTAAATATATTTATTTTATTACCAACAATTTAATATTTTATTTACACTTTATTATTTTAATTTTATTATAGCATAGCAGTTCCAATAACTACTTATCACGGACATGGTGGTTTTGGATGTTCAGATACTTTGAAGGAAATATTAATGGCCCAATACCTCGTCAATATAATTGGCCTTTACCATGGCCTCGACGTTTCACAGCCGCCAAATATCCCAATCGAGATAGTTAGCCCAGGTTGCAAGTTTCGTCTAAAAAAAATGTTCCTTGGCTGTAAAATAATATAAAATATAAAACAATATCACCATAAATCAATTAACATTTCCATACTTACAAATATTCCTACTTCTTTGACATATATACATGCGTTTATTTGTTTTTTAAAATTTAATATATATATATATATATATATATATTGTTACACACCAATTGTTTGCTCAAATAAATTCATAACTTATGTATACTTAACTTAAAATTATTCAAAATATGATAAAACGTGAAAATTATTATAAATGTCTTCAAAATAAAACATTAAACTATGTTACATTATTAATAATAGTTCCTTTTCTAGTTTTATTACTAATTGAACTGGTATTAATAATTTTTATAAGCATATGCTGGAAATTTGTGTTAA